GAATTCGGGTACAAAGCCTACAACATACAAAATTGCACAATTCTGTATAGAAATCAACTCAATTTAAATCCCAATTAAATACAAAAAATGCTAAATAAGTGTGTAAAAACACACTTATCAGTACGTGCAGTACTGCCTATCTCGGGGCCCCCTATTTCTTCCTCCATCTCTTCCTTTGGATGGGTTTGACTGTTTTTGGACCCTAGTCCCAACTTCCTCATAGGCTAAGGAAGGAACTGCATTTAGCGTGGCGGTGGCCAATGCTTGGCTTGAGGTGGGGGCTATTGTGTGTCCTTCTTGGGTCTATTGTTAATCCACCATGTGGGACACAGGACCTCTTCGCTGTCTTTAAGGCAATGGGAGTCCCAGCGATGTCCTATTGCGGTGATCTACCAGCTCCTCATTGACGATTTCACTTCTCATCATTTCTACTAGGGCATCGTAGGAAGTGGGATTCCTATTTTGCACATCTCTCTAGAATAAGGTGTTCATGTTGAGGTCTCCCCTTAGGGCGGAAAGGGCCTATCTATCTGTAACATGTTCACAATAAGTCATCTCATCTGTAAACGAGCTAATAGCTTTTCAGATTTTCCCCCGCCTGCTGTCTCATGTCTTGCAGCCTTTGGATGAGAGCCTTCCCTTCTTTGCTAGATAGGTATTGGTTCAAAAAGGCCTTTTTAGGTCCGGCAAACTTCTGATGCTGCCGGCTGGGATGCGACTGTACCAAATTTCTGCGGTCCCTGTTAGCATGAGGTGAAAAGCCCTGTATTTTAGCGTTGGTGAGGCTCCTCGCGAGACATTTGGGTCTTATAGTTGTTGAGGTGCTTCATCGGATCACCTTTCCCCTCGTATTTGGGTATCTTTGGAGTCATTAAGTGGCTTGGGACAGAGGCGCTTCTCAATTCTTGGGAGAAGGGCAAACTTTCGTCGTCATCATCTAGTTCGAACGATCTGCAAGGACCATCAGAGTCATTTTCTTTTGCTTGATAATGAGGGGGTTGTGACGTCCCTGCTTGATTTCTCATATTCGCCTTGTCCCTCATCTCTCACCTATTTCTAGGCGGTGGTGCTTCCTAAGGTTCATACCCTTGGTACTGTCCTTGCTCTCTTTGAACATGGGGTGGTTGATGGGACCTATTTCTAGTCCTAAAGGGACCAATCCGATCAAAGACGCTGTTGGACCTTTGAGGTTCGTGCTCTTTAGTGTGTTCGGGAGGAAAATTTCATTCCTACGGCATGTCGTTACCAGTCCAGCTTGTAACGTAGTTGGTGGAGGTATCCACTTCCACCTCCCTCTCCACCAGGTTATCATTCAAGCCATACCTTTGAGGGTATGCTGCTGTGTCGTTTTCCTCATCTTCTTGGGGGAAAACTCCGCTTGGGGGCGCCTGGGATCCAGCTTGTTGGTGCATCTGCATGAACAGCTACTGCATGGTTGCACTTTGCTGGGTCATGTTCCTCATGTTTGCGGTCATTTTCCCCACTTCGCTGACTAGGCGCGCTGTAGTGCCACTTCGCCTGTGTTGGTAATGGGGACGACGTATGTTCACATTGGTACAGAGGACCTCTTCTTCAGAGGTCTCTCGTTGCCTATCTTCACCATGTGTCCCTTGGTGGCTGGAACTTATTGTAGGTATCTGATTTTGGGTTGACAACCTTTTCCTTTTTGGCGCTTATTCCTCGCAATAGTTCTTTCTTCAAGAACCAAACCTTTTTTCAAGGTCATGCTTTAAAAGACTTTTACTACTAGAATGTTCGTGGTTATGGTATCAAAGGCTTCCCACAGACGGCACAAATCTGTTGACCCCAGAAATTGTATCAAACGTGGCCAAAAATGTCAAGAACTTCTTGTATCCACGTAGACCAGATCGGATTGAGGAAAAGGTGGCGATCTCGCTTATAATAACAAAAGTGTATTTGGCAAGAATATTGGGTTGAAAATCTAGATTTGCATTAACCCTGAATAGTGCTAAGTGTGGGTTTTTATACTTAAGTAGGAAGGATGAGGCCCGTTGGTTGATAGGGCACGTGGCTTCATCAGATTAACTACCCCTTCTTGTTATATGCGCCAATCAATCAATCGATCCATCAGTCAGGGCCTTTAAATGCTAAGATCTCTTGCCTACCTACAAACCTTAGCTTGTGCAAGTGGGATTTGACAGTGTAAGTGTACAGAGATGGCGTTGTCAGTGAGTTGTCTGGTCAATCATTTCATCATAGCATCGGTTAGGCACATGATCGCCTCTCCTACGAAGGGTTTGTTCATATGGGGTCGTCTAGACCCCACCTAGGTTGCCGCGTAAGGCAGGGCCCCCAGCATTTGCCCGCTGCGTAGGGAGCGATTATTTACATGAGGAACACACTGTTTATTTGATATATATTTTAATGTAATGGATTTGAGATGATTTTCAGTTTGGTATAAAATTTGATGCAAAATGATGCAAACATTATCTTAAATTTTGGTACAGGGTTGAAAATGGCTTCAACAATTAGAACAATAATAGCGGGCGCTGCACCTCCTATACATTCACTTTTGGTGTTCAGCATGAGCAATTGGTGATTGAACATAATAACATAAAATGACAATTGGCGATTGAACAAAATAACAAAAAATGACAATTGGTAATTGGAAATCAAACATATTTCTAAGAAAATCGTGTGATAACAAAACGGAAATTCGAACGGTCAAGAGTTTATTTATTTATTTTTTAAAAGTTAAAGACATACTGAGAACTTCCAAAAATTAGTGAAGAACAATAATAGCGGACCCACAAAGAATAACTAGCACTTTATACCTCGTACACCAATATTTTGGTGTTCGGCATGAACAATTGGTGATTGAATAGAATACGATCAAGTGACAAATGGTCAAAGGTTGGAAGGAAAAGGCCATCTGAAAGCAAATAGTTTGAAAAAGGGTCGAAACTTCAACTTTTTCCTTTATGTTTGGCAATTTTTGACTAGTTCAAATATAAAAACAACACAAACAAATTGGTTTGTTAGTCCGTTATACAAAAGTTAGCTATTGTTTGGCAGGGATTAAAATTATTTTTTTAATAAATTTTGATAAAAGTTGATAAAATATGTAATTAAAAACTTGTACATTTCATGAAATATGTGGTTAAAATTAATTGTTGATTTCGTTTTAGATTAAAATATCCCTACCTACCAAATAGGGGCTTAATTTTGCTATACCCAAATAAATTAATAGAACTAGTACATAATTAGTACGTAGGTCGTAGGGTGCTGAATAGCCTTGTACAACCTGCAACACACGATTTCATGTAGCGTGTTCACTAACCATCTGAATTCATGAATTCTATCACAATGTTTAGTCCTTGTTTAGTTTAGTTAAAAATCAGATTTTTAGCAAATTTTGATAAAATTGATGGGAGTATGCTTGAAATATTGATTAAAATTGTGGGTATCATGAAATGTGTAGTTAAAATTAATTATTGATTTTAATTTAAAATTTTTATCAACTTTTTTAATTAAACCAAACAGGGGCTAAAGGTGAAAACGTTTGTGGCATATGATCATAAAAAGCATAAAAAGATACCTAACTTAGATGCAGTCGGAATAGTTTTGAGCAAAGAAAAAGAACAATAAGTGCATGTGTATACATAGAAATCGACAAATTTTTTCTTTAATTTCAGTCAATTATTTTGCATTTCACCTTACTAAACAAGCCGTAAAAATATGCACTTTTTCATGTATTTATTAAGGGCATATACTGTATGACACAAAGATATATTTGCCGGCAACTTTCAAGAGTACGACATTTGCTGCTTTTGCTATCCTATGTACCGTTATCATTATAGAGATTTAAGGTTGACTGGATAAAGATCTTTGGCAGATACAGAAGACGAGCCAATTTCTCGTGCATCGGAAGGATGAGTAAGGGTCTGAGATTCGCTTGAATTAGGTTCCAAGTCTTCGAACTTCTCTCTGAGTGCTTGAAGATTCAATTCATCTTCATAGATGTTTGGATCTATCTTAAATTCCTCTACATTTATATATCCTTCAAGCATGCCACAAACTGTGGACATTGGAGGCCTTAGGGCCGGAGATAAATTGGTGCACAATAGAGCAACTTTGATCATTCGCTCTGCCTCGTCCATAATGAAATTCGAACCCAACCTTGGATCCACGAGCTCCATCAACCTTCCTTCGTTCTGCAAAACCGTAGCCTGAGACAAAAGGCCATTGTGTAAGACCTTGTTTCATGGACATAAGAACTAAAAACAGGTTATTGAGACAAAACTCCATAATGTGATGTGGAGAAAATACAAATTTCTTACCCAATCAAGAAGGCAATAGAAATTTTCACTGGGACGATATTTCATGTTGTTCTTTCCAGCAACAATTTCTAGTGCAACCACGCCAAAACTGTACACGTCTGCTTTGTAGGTTAAGTAACCCCACATTGCATATTCAGGAGCCATATACCCACTGCAAAATGAAAATGATCAATTGCATATTAGCACAAGCTTTCACTCCTATTTCTCATAAGAAAGTTCAAACTTCATATATTACATGTCGATGTTCTGAATTATAATAATTAATGTTGAAAATGAATGATACTAAATATTCCCAGAGACTTTAAACTGCTTTCATTTTATTCAAGTTTGTCTAAAAAGTTTACTTATAGGTAAAATAAAGTGAATATTATAATAAATAAATTTTTTATTGATCAACTAAAAGAATGAAGAGATTAGAATGAAGAAAAGAGGAAAAAACTCACATTGTCCCAGCAACTCTAGTGCTGATGTGGGTGTTATCATCTTCATCAAGTTTGGCTAAACCAAAATCGGAAATCTTTGGATTGAGGTCTTTATCAAGAAGAATGTTATTGGTTTTTATGTCTCTATGAACAATTTTCAATGTGGATTCTTCATGCAGAAAAGCCAAGCCTCTTGCTATACCGATACAAATTCTTTGTCTAGTTGGCCAGTCCATTTTTACTTGCCATTCCTCTGGTCCTGTACTTGATAATAAGATACAATTAAGCGTGTGCATCAGATTATAAATACTGAATTTGTATATTAGACTAGATTTTAATTTATTGAAATAAAGAATGCTAATGCAGGTACAAAATTCAGTTACCAAATAAAGCGCGGGCAAGGCTATTGTTCTCCATGTATTCATACACCAGCAGTAACTGGCTTCCCTCAATGCAACATCCATACAATTTTACTAGATTTGGATGCTGTAAACCAGAAATCATGCCTATTTCAGTCACGAATTCATGGTTCCCTTGCTTTGATTTGGAAGACAGCTGCTTGACAGCAATTACACTACCATCGAAGAGTATACCCTGCAAATGAAGCATTATAGTCACATATGCACGCATATAGAAATGTTAGAACAATATAAGCGCGAAGGTATAGACAAAGTATAAGAGGGAAAAGTTGGTAGTTCATATTGCTACATACCTTGTAGACAGATCCAAAACCACCTTCCCCAATTTTATTTGCAGCATCAAAGTTGTTTGTAGCGGCTTTGATTTGTCTAAAAGTAAAAAAGCCAGTCCGCAAATCTAATCCCCTTAGTTCTGGAAAAGAGCAATTTTTAGATGTGGAATTCACTGTAAGCTATATAGCTAAGAATTCCGTCATCTCTCTTTTTCTCTATACAGTAAATATGAGATTTGCATGTCCATATATGCACCCTCACAAGAGATTACGTTCTAGTTTTTCTTTGATGTATTGCTTGGCCATGGTCACATCACCACGGAAAAATTATTTATCCTAAATCTGAGAGTAACTTCCATAGTTGTCATCTGATGCATTACTACTGTAAGACTATCCATAAAATTAAATACGACAATTCAAAATTTACATTCTTGCTTAAATACTAAGAAAGGTCTATTTGTTCACCTTGTTCCCTTGAGATCTTGCCTCCTATATAGCCTTTCCACCATGAAAAAAAGAGAATAATGAGAATGAGAAAAATTGCCAAAGCTGTTACTCCCGTTGGGATGAAAATTTTCTTCTTTCCTTTCGATGGAGGCTTAGAATCTATATAATGAAAGAAATAAAGAATAATTTGTTACATGGTGTTCAGTTTGCCTAGCACCAGAAAAAATTACATAAAGGAATTGGTATAGGAAATTTGAGAACAATAGCAAGTGAAAAAGAAAGATAATAGAATAATTAACAGAGGGCTAATTTAAGTGCCAACGACACCTGAGTTTTGTCGCTTAAGTTGCAAAAGATTATCTCGTCGTGCAGATAAATTGCATATTTTCTCAAATAAACAGATAAAAAAATAAAAATTCTTATTGACATGAAGAGAGATAGAGGTGTTTGACGATAAATATAATGGTATTACACAAACTATCTTACCAGATTCCACGGAAATAGCTGATATCAAAGGGCCATAATTGCCTCCTGTAGGGATGGCTGTTGATCCTTTCCCAGAATAGTGAAACCGGATATCCAGAGTTTTACTCTTAACCATCACCTTAAATGGTTTTATCACAACTTTATCAACACCTTTCGCTTCCTTTTCAATATCAAAATCTTTCAATTTCCTTTCGTCCTGTATTAAGTTGAATAAGTTGAGTCAAATTGCAACAGTAAATGGCACTAAAAAGAACTGTTTATTGACCTGGATATAAACGTCAAACATCCGTCTTCCAAGACTCTGGAAAGAGCCATTATCTCTGAAAACTATCTCTGCGAAGTGAAGTGTCACGGTGTAGTTTCCATTTGCTAAGCAACGCCCGTAATAAGTGAGAGATAAAGGAGATTTACGCGCATTTGTATAGAGTTCAGAGTCCTTCATTTTCAGCACAGACACATTTTTTGCTGTATAGACATCATTTGTTTGGTCAACGTCCCAAAAGTGTCCTGTACTACTAGTTCCCCAATGCTCTTTTGAGTGAACAAATTTTGCTGCACCTCCTGATTCTTCATCAGCTTCAAATTTTCTTTTGCCAATCGTAGCTTCCCCTCCACCACAATTTACATAAAAGGAATACCAATCTGTGAAAAACCAAAGCAGATTAAAGTTCCTAGAGCTGTAATCTTTGGAGTGTAAAAAGACAGAAGTGCTGTAACTATATACGATACTACTGCATTCCTTTTGCTTTTAGTTTTCAACTTGAGTGCAAAAAAAGGACGTTGCTAGCTTGATGGCATACTACATAGAAATGCTTGGATGATGAGATTCAAGTAAACAATCAAGGCTTAGCTTGTAAAATGAAGTACTTACCCTTTGAACAAGGAATGAGGCACTTCTCTTGTTCTCTGTATATGGCAAGGGGGCAGAATGAATAATATTATATACAAAGTTATGTTTAAATTACTTTAATCTTATCTACATAAGAAGCAACTTAAAAACTTACACACTGTTTACTCCACTAAAGCTTCTGAACAAGTTTCTGATGCAGAAAGAAAAGAAGAAAACAAATTGAAGCTATGAAGAAGCATACAGAAAGAAAGCACGTGAAGAAAAATTGCGGCTTACTGATTTTCCCTGCAAATTGATGGCTCAGAAGTCTCATTGAAGTTATTGTAAGAAAGATCTATAAAGCTGCAAATGCATGTAATATCTCTTTAAGAACTTATTTCAATCCTCTAAAATAAATGATAGAAAAGAACCGATGAATGAAAAAGTGATAGAAGTCCAGCAATATGTAGCAACTAAATTAAAAAATGAGATTGTTCTCGAACTTATGAGACTAGTCCCATATCTTAAGGTGAGCTTGAACAAGATGGCAATTGTATGTCTGGATATAAAGATGTCAATAGAGGTCCTGAGAGAAATGGGGAAATTCCATTTATGTATGAATTTGAGGACATCGTCATCTATGACGGACAATGCTACTATTAAATCGCAGAGATAATACGTTAAATAATAAGAAACATGGAAGTGAACTTACTAATCTTCACTTCTCCTCATGATCCACTTTGGAATTTGCCCACTGAGAAAGTTACCAGTCAGATACCTAATCACAAACACAAAATTCAAATGCAATCAAAATTATACATTTATATTACAAACTAAAAATGCTGAATATGAATGACGCTTGAATACTAAGGATTGAATAAGAACTGGACATCCTTAAGTTTGGTTAAAGTGGTCCTTACTACTTGTTTTGGAAAAAAAAAATAATAATAAGAAGAAGCAGGATTTAGGATTTGACCATGAATAAAGTCTTCCATTGTCATGCTTCAATATATGACAGGTGAATGACAGACCAAAGCTTTCGTACAAATCAATTGAATAATATCATACCAATTCACTTACATGGTATCTAGAAGTCGTAGGTATTCAAAATTTGGAACCTCTCCTTTTAACTTGTTAAAGCTCAGATCTCTGTGAATACACCACAGGAGCATATCTTATAACCAAGCACATATTTTCTCAGCTTACGAACAATATGTCAGTGCATACTTATCATAACGCAGAAAAGTGAACCTAAATTTTGTATGATATCCAGAAAGAAAGAAAAAAGATGGGCACAAAAACAATGGAAGCACAGGAAAACAAACAAAATTACAGGATTTCCAAATACTGGTCTTGGGAAAAACTTCATGCGGCAAGCTCTTGCACGGTATGAAACCTCACAATCTGAAAATGCACATTGTAGATCCTCCATATTTTCCTGTTGGATTTTGTGACCCAAATTAGGTTGGAATTTTTTGGGAATATATTTTTTCTTCTTTACACGTATTTAGAAAAATATTATTTCCTTTATTTTACGTGTTTTATTGGAAAAATATTGTTTCCTTTATTTCACGTGATTTGTTTTTATCTTGTTTCCATCTTGAATTTATCTTCCCTATAAATAGTAGACTCTTCATTCAGTTTTAGTGAATAGAAATTAATGAAATTGTATTTTTCTCTCAATTGGTTGTTTAATAAAATATCGATTTCTGTGCCAATTTTTTCTTTTCTTTACTTTAAATCTTGTTCTTGTTTGGTGAGCGATCAATACTTCATATTTCTCCATTAATCTCTTCCGATTTTTCACAACATGGGGGTTCAAATGGTCCCAACAAGTGGTATCAGAGCTACAAGTTGCTAAATTTATTTGATATTTCTAGTTTCGATGGCTGCCGTGAAATATGACATTCCGCTTTTGGATCGCAATATAAGGTTTTCTCCATAGCAAGTAAAGATGAAAGAAATTCTGGCTCAGATGAATTTGGACGATACTCTGTTGGGTTTTGATAAAATGCTAACAACTTGAACAACAGAGAAAAAGCAATGGAAGGACCGAAAAGCGCTTTCTATGATTCATCTTCATCTTTCTAACAACATTCTTCAGGATGTGGTTAAGGAGAAATCAGCTGCTGCATTGTGGTTAAAACTGAAACAACAGTGCATGACGAAAACATTGACGAGTAAGTTGCATCTGAAGTAGATGCCTTATTCTCATCGCATGGCAGAAGGGAGTTCTTTGAAGGACCATCTGGCCATGTTCAAGCAAATCGTCGCTGATCTGGAAATGTTAGAAGTCAAGTATGATGAAGGGATTTGGCTTTGATCCTGTTATGCTCACTACCCGCTTCGTATTCGTTGTTCAGGGACACGATCTTGTACAATCGTGACACACTCACCGTTGATGATGGTGACACACTCACCGTTGACGATGCTTATGACGCTTTATTTTCAAAGGGGAAGATGAAGCATATTGTTGGAGCTAAGGATGAGGAAACTCTGGTTTCGTACGGTGATCGACGAAGGGGTAGGTCGAGGGTGAACTTCAACAATCAGGTTTGCTTCTACTGTTGGAGAAAATGACACATCAAGAAGGATTGTGACAAGTTGCATGGTAAAGGTAATTTATCTGCAAATCATGTAAGGCAATCTGATCAATCAAACGAGACTAATATTGCCGAGAGATTTTCGAATGGCGAAGACGTGGTGCTGACCGTATCTGACATGGAATCTAAGCTGGATGAGGAGTGGATTCTGAATTCAGTGTGTTCGTTCCATGTGTCCCAATAGGGTCTGGTTTGAAACATATGAAACGATGAAGCAAGGTGGAGTTATCACGGGAAACAACCAATCTTGTAAGGTTGCTGGAATCGGTCGGGTCAGATTGAGGTTATTGGATGGGACAGTTCGAGTTCTTGGCCAGGTTCAGCATGTTCCAGACTTAAGGAAGAATCTCATCTCGTTGAGTTCCCTGGATTCTAATGGGTACACATTATCCGGTGTGGGTGGAGTCTAAAACGTCCAAAGGGATAATCGTGTTGTGTTGGATGGATGGAAGAGTTCTCAAGTGTATATCCTGCACGGGCCACAGAACCAATGAAGAGACATCTAGACATGTTTAGCACTGTAGAAGAGATCCAGTTCGGTACAGTACCTTTCGTGTTGGGCTCTGAGTCATTTGCTAGGAGAGGACTCATGAAGCATAGGTACCGGGTTTCAGATGTGTGAGATCATGCTTTCGGGGTGTTTGAAGGTGACGTTCTAGCAAGGGGCCTTCAGTTCAAACATTTGGTATGGATTCTGCTACAGGGTATACTTCGACCTTGTTTGCTGTTTGTTAAATTCTTTGTTGGAATTTTGGGAACCTGGGGTTGGGTTCGGGTGTCACTTGTAGACACTAGGCAAATGTGATGTTTTTTGTGAGGTGGAAAGTTTTGGTACTGAATGAAGAGATTGATTTATTTTGATGCAGTCGGACTTATTTTTTCAAGTGGAGAAATTTTGGAGTTTCGTTCGTTGCACTGAAATTTGTATTAAGGTGGAGATTATTGGATTTTGTGACCCAAATTAGGTTGAAATTTTTTTGAAATATATTTTGCATTCTTTGCATGTAATTGGAAAAATATTACTTCCTTTATTTCACTTATTTTATTGGAAAATTATTGTTTTATTTATTTCACATGATTTTTTTATCTTGTTTTCATCTTGAGTTTGGACATCTTCCCTATAAATAGTAGACTCTTCATTCAGTTTTAGTGAATAGAAATTGCTGAAATTGTATTTTTCTCTTCATTGGTTGTTTACTAAAATATCGGTTCCTCTACCAATTTTTTCTTTTCTTTACTTTAAATCTTGTTCTTATTTGGTGAGCGATCAATACTTCATATTGCTCCATTAATCTCTTCCGATTTTTCACAACACGTTGATTTAAAGGGTCCCAACATTTCCATAGCCTAGTCTCCACCACACGTACAAATTATATTACAAGCAGTGGGTTTTGTGGCATGGAGTACAATGAATTCATGATTTTGGTTACTATCTTCAACAAGTAAAGATGGAAGTTCCAATGCCTCCCAAATAAATAAAGAAGAGGAAATAAGAATTCTGGTTGTGTTAAAAGTTACACAACTCTTGAACTTTAAAATCTTATGAAGTGAGGGTCTGTTCTCTTTATCATTTTCAAGCCCTTTTTTGTTTACGATTTTTCAAAACAGTGAAATCGCGTTTTCTTTCCTATTTTCGAAAACGCATTTTTGAAAACAAGTTAAAAATTTACAAAGAAAACCCAAAATGACAAATTTGTCATTTTGGGTGTTTTCAGTTATAATCAACTCAAAATTTTCAAAACACGTTTTGGGTGTTTTCAAAACAATTTTTCAAAATGTCAAAAAGAATACATTTTCAACAATCTCAAAATGAACACTCAAAACACAAAACCCAAAATGAATTTAAAACTCAAAACACAAAATTGAAATACGAAGAGAACAGCCTCTTAACTTCTCTAAATGTGAAAAGAAAACAAGTAAAATACTAGATGGAGTCCAGGACTGTGAACTGCTGAATATATTCTTTTTAAGCAACTCATAGAGTTGGCATTTGGTCACAAGAATATTGAAACAAGTATGATGTGGAGTGTAGTTGTAAAAAGAAGAAAAGAGGTACTACTACTAGAATCAATACTTACAGACTCTTCAATGACGTAAATTCTTCAAGGTCATTAGAAATGGTTCCATTTATGTTACAGCTCCTTAACATCCTGTAAGTACTCAACATATGTATAAAATAATATGGTTCTAAAAGAAATTATCAAACTCTTCTAAGTTGTTTATTGATTTAGTGACATTTACTCACAAATACACAATCTTTTTCATGTCTCTTAGCCGTGGAAACTCTGAAGCACCTCCATTCAAGTCACTAATCCTTCTGCAGAGATATCACATCACACCAGTTGTCATCTTCACTATCAATGTTTAGTAAATGAACATAATATTGCTACTGAAGTATTGACAAACTGAAATTTGACTGTATGGGTTTCAACTCACAGGTAAATTAAATTTTTTAAGATGGAAATACTAGGAGGTATGGGTCCTTCAAAACCACTGCCTTGTATCTCTCTGTTGAAAATAAATAAATTAATAATAAGTCGCAACTATAAATTTTGCATTTTGGAAAATGCTCATTCAGGAAAGGACTTACAATTTCTGAAGGTTTGTCCAGCTCCGAAAATTAGGTAATTTTCCAGTGAAGTTGTTACTGCTTAGCCTACTGCATTGCCCCCGAAAGACACGTTATCATTAAAATAGCAGAAAACTGTTTGCACTTTTTCAGATTAAAAACTTTATACTTTGAGAAATGTGTGGTAAAATACTTACAGATCTGTCAACATTTTTAGATTATTTAATTCAGTCGGCAACTCACCAGCGAGATTGTTATCACTTAGAATGCTGCAGTGACCAAAGATGACAAGTTACACGTACATAAATGGGTAAATTACTGCCACTGTCCCTAACCTTTTGTTGGAGTAATTTTCAAAAGAATGTCGTTTAGACATTGGTAGATTAAATCAAGGAAATACAATTCAAGAAGCACTGGATCAAGATGGGACAAGAACGAGAGACGAAGGAATGGACCAAAACTTGAGCCAGTTTGCAACACAAACTAGTGCAGGTGGGCAACATGGAAGTGCTCCTGTGCTGCCTGGTTGGCACAGGTGCGTTGTCTGTGCTGGGCAGCACACTGCTTGGCAGTAATATACATGAAATTGAAATCAGTTTGCACTCTACAATTTTCTATACTTTCTAACATCCAAAATACCAACTTTTGTGTATTAATTTCTTCTTAAATATTGTTTGTACTTCGTGATCATACTGCAGAGATAAAGTACAAACTCCGATAAAGATTTCAAATTATTTGATGTCCGGGTTATCTTCGTGGATGCACAACACAGACAACACTAAAAGGGCTCATTTTATCCTGGAGGCATATTTGCATTCCCGTTTGAATCCCGATTGGCGGGGCAAATAACATCTTAAGGGAAGTGACACTTGTTACGTGCCTTGAAGCCGGTATTGTTTTAAGTTCGAGTTTCTGCGATATTTCAACTTCTAGTCATCTACTTATTATCTCAAGATTGATTCCACCAACAATCTCCAGACATTATTTCAAGTTTTCTATGGCACATCCAATGTTTTAGCTACGAGATTTTGCATTAAACTTTGTCAAATTGGAAAGGTTCAGACGGTTCTAATTTTCGAATATGGCAAAACAAACTTCACTTCTTTCTCACAACCCTCAACATAGTGTAAAAGCTTACAACTCCAAAGCCATAAGAGGCAAAAAAATGAACCATTGGGGATACAAGCGCTAGACAAAAATGGGATCAAGATGATTACATATGCAAGGGTGTCATTTGCTATGCAATATCTCGTAATTCTCTTTTTGATCAGTACCACAAGAAGAAAACCGCCAAGGAAATATGGGAGGCATTGGAAGCCAAATGCATGTTGGAGGATACTACAAGTAAGATATTCTTTGTATCTAAATTCTTTCAATATCGAATGGCGGACAGCACTAAAGCAATTGAGCAATTTCATGAAACCACTCATATACATAATCAATTTCTTCAATACCACATCAATATGGATGAGTCCATTTTGGTATCTTCAATCATTGACAAACTACCTCCATCTTGGAAAGATTATAGTAGAAGTCTAAAACACCAGAAATAAGATATCTCTATTGAAGTATTGGGTCGTAATCTCCGAATGGAGAAAGAGTTTAAAATGATTAATTTTGGGGAACATAGTGTCCAATCACGTTCGTGTGGTTGAGGATAAGGACAGATCGAAAGAGAAAGATGATGCAAATTAACAAAACAACAAAAACAACAAGAAGAGGAAGCATGATTCAAAAAACGAGGGTTCCTAGAAACGAATGAGGTCTTGTTACAATTGTAGCGAAAGGAGACATCTCAAAAGTGAATGTCGCCATTTGAAGAAACAACATGACATGGATAACTTTGTAATTTGAATTTGTTTTAAGTATGCTTTCAAGTTTGTTTTGAGTTTTTTGAATATGATTCAGAAAATGCAAATTTAAATTCTAATTACTTGACAATTTGATTCGAAAGTGAAGAATTGTAGTAAATGTGATAATTTGTAGAGAAATTATATGCAAATTTTAAAAAATTAGAAATGTCAAGATTTTGTTAAAAGGCGTGAGGAAAATAGTAAAAGAGAGTAAGATTAAGGATCAAATTTATTGTGATTTTGTCCCTGGTGGATATTAAAATCAAATTTTTAGTAAATTTTGATAAAAGTTAAAACAGTTATAGATTCCATGAAATATGTTATTAAAAATAATTGTTAATTTTGATTTAGATTAAACTTTAGATTTCAATCGATAACAAATATGACTTTATAAAAAAAAACTCAAAAGTTTGGAGGTCACGTAACCCCCCAGGCCAGTGAGTGGCAGCTACACGACAAGTGAACCACGGCCTGCATTCCACGTCATTCTGCCCATGTGGCCGAACATCTATGGGGAGCTCAGCCCACATGGATGAGGCGAGATAGATAATGGCGTTTTATAGAAGATCTTATATCAAGTGGATAATGTGACAACTGACTGAATATGCAACTCTATTCAATCAAACAAGCTAAGTCTAGTCTTACATATCGGCCTAGGGCTGCCAAGCCATCACAACATTAAATGTAGCATAGCTTAGGAATGATTGATTGATATCTATGACAAGAGGCCCCAACCGCTAGGATGAGGCCACGTGTCTCTTTATCCAACTAACTCTTACTCATCATTTTCTACTATAAAAGCTTATATTTAGTGCCGTTTCAAGGTAATGCAAGTTTATGCTCTCAACTTACAATTTTGCTCATTTATTATTCTCGACATACACCCTAAAGCCTACCCCTTTCTTACATTGAAGGCTCCAGTCTAAAGCCCTCCCACATTCATACATTTATTTTCCCAATTGACTTGATCGTCGGAGTGCGAGCGGCCAACTCCACCACCACTGGAGAAAGCCACGTGTGGCTAACGGTTTGTCCATGTGTGCACGAATCAAGCTTGCATGGACGTGAAAGGTCTTTGGATCTGTTGGCCACATTGTTGGTACAAAATTTGATGTTAGTAGATTGGTGCCGTTTGTAGGAAACCACACTATAACGACGAACATCCCGTGAAAAAAGCATACAAAAAGTGTCTAGGCTTCCCCATTGAAAAATGTTTTGTTCTTGAAGAAAGAACGAGTGGAAGTCCATGAAGGAAAAGAAAATTCTAAACTCAACGCAATTCGTTGACATGTAATACTTCATGAAAAATGAGTATTTTGAGTCTAAGGTCCACTTAGAAGAGCCCATTTTTGAAGAAAAGATACGCCTTCTCTCCATGAATTCAAACAATGAAAAGGCTTTCCCCTTGAAAAATATTTTGTTCTTGAATAAAGAACAAGTGGAAGCGTCAAACATAGAAGATTCGAAATTCAACTCAACATCTTGGGTGATCTCTCCTTGAAAAATGAGTATTTTAGGACATAACCAACTCAAATAAAAGAGGCATCCACCCACAATAAGTGGGAATGATAAAGCTAGACACCTAAGATCAAGAGAGGTCCCTGAAGAAGAGGTCCTTCGGAACAAAGTCACATTTATGCAATAACTCCTCCAAATGTAATGGAATACGCATAATCCCTGCAAATGGGGAGGCTTATGAAAAAGAAGACCATAAGCGGAAAAACTTCTGAAAAGGGGCCATTAATCGAATAACCTCTGAAAAATGGGAGGCTTCTAAAGAAGAGACTGAAGGAGAACCCACGAAGAAAGGGACAAGTTTGAAGAATTATGATGCCTCATCTCTAAAAGTTGGGACTTTGCCTCTACAAGAAGCTTCACCCTTATAGGAATACTCTAACTTTACAATCATGATTTTTTTCAAGTGTAGAGACCTCACATTGGCCTATTCAATAGCGGTTCCACCATGCAATACCTCTTCTAATCTGTGCATAAGTGTCTCCACATGTGATAAGTAAAAATCCCCGAATTGAAGGAGAACAATACAAAAGAAGAGAAAATGACTTAAAACGAACAAAAAAGTGAACATGAGGACTAAAGTGTAGGTGTGTCAAAAGTGAAAGGACTTTGGATGCAATTTATCAAGTGTATGATCGAAAAAAGTCAAAATATGGGGACTAAAATGTAGATAAAAAGTTAAAGGACCTGATCATAAATTATTGAGGGACTTGAAGGCAATTTTTAACTTCGCCTATACATCAACGCATCCCCATAAAATGAAGACCCTCAAAAAGGGGTGGCCTTTGAAAATGTCATAAATAAAAGAACCCCAGAAAATGGGAAGCCCCTAAAGAGACTATGAAGGGAATAACCGTTGAAGAATGGAGGACCATTAAAGAAGGAGTCATATTTGAAAATTACGAGGCTTCATCTATGAACCATAAGATCATCTTTAAAATTACAACTTTTCTAAGTGTGGAGACCTCATCTCGCCTACGCTTGAGTGCACCCAACACCCCTGAAAAATGGAGGCCTCTGAAAAAGAAACTATGAATAATAACACCTAAAGAAGGAAGGTCCCTGAAGAAGGAAGGATCCATGAAAAAAAAGTCATACTTGATGAATCAATAGGCCATATCCCTGAAACATGGGACATCGTAATGCAATGCCTCATCCGACCTATGCATGAGTACCTCCGCTATGCAATGCCTCATCTCGCCTATGCATCAGTGCCTTCACCATACAAGTCTTCATCTTGACTATGTATAAGTGCTTCGACTATATAAAACCCCTTCCATGGGTGAATCAAACACCACGGAGGAAGCCCATGCAAAGAAGGGCTATCCCATTGCAAAGAGATAAAATAACATTATCAAAGATAAGTGTGATGCATCACACAAAGAGCCACAACTTGTTGTCTTAGAGGATTAACCCCTTCCGTGGAACACCATGGAGGAAGCCATTGCAAGGAAGGGCTATTCTTTTGCAAGGAGGTAAAATAACCTCATCATGAACAAGTGTGGTGTATCCTACAGAAAACTACAACTTGTTGTCTTAGAGGATTAACACTTTCCATGGATGTATCAAACATCTTAGAGAAAGTCCTTGCAAGGAAGAGTTATTCCCTTATAAAGAGGTAAAATAGCTTCATCAAGAACAAGTATGATGCATCCCACAGAGAGCCACAACTTGTAACCTTAGAGGATTAACCCCTTCCGTGGATGGATCAAACACCATGGACGAAGCCCTTGTACTGAAGAGCTACCCCCTTGCAAAGGACCTTGGCCAAGTTCAATTCAACCTTATCAACGACTGCATCTTCCCAGTAGCTCTCTCTTATGCAAAGAGCATCGACCTAGTTCAATTCAACCTTATCAATGAATGCCTCTTCCCGAAGGGGCTTTATCTTATTCAAAGGG